ATTTGCACGATATTCTAATTTTTCGAGTTTCACCTGTAGTATAATTTACTGCAAGTTACTGTGTCTTTTCAAGAACTCATTCAAAGATCACTCCAACCTGAGACTTCAGTTAATCTTCTCTACTTAATGAACCTGAGATTCTTCTGCACAATAAGTATGTTCTGTCATTGAACTACTATATGACTTTTCCCCATGGAAACACATGAAGCAACAAATTGTCTGATGCATACCATGGGCCGCTCAGCAGATAAAAACAAAATGAAGATGCAGAAGAAATTTTACTGTGTTTTGTTGACTAGCTTTCAGCATATTTTAATAATATTTCAATAGAGTACTATAAAATTATACCATATCATTTTTGTTCTCCATAAAGATGCTGAGTTTCTTCAGAAATGACACAACCAGTATTAACAGTTCAAAGTTATCTCGATCAAGAGCTTTCACCAACATGTGGACAATATTCTTGTTCCTCATCTTTAGTTCAGTTCGTGTGTCCTCAGCAAGATTTAGCAGCAAATAAAGAGCAACTGATTCATCAGCAAAAATAAAACATACAATTGAGAGATTGTGAGTATTGTCTGCTCACTGTATAATGCATGAATTATTTCAAACATCTGGGCCATCACAAATATCTCCTGTGCAAAGTTCAGTGGGATATAATTGAGGAAAAAGAGTATGCTGTTTTTGCTCCCTAGCCTGTTTCAGCAAAATGTGAAGTCTGATAGTTTATTGGGAGAAAATGTGGTGTAATATTTCTAAAATATACTCTAGTTTAATTATTGGAACATAAATAATTAACATAGTTTAGCCCACATTATTTTAATATGAGCTTCTCCTCTTTATCATATTCATCAATACCAACTCTTTTTTATATGTACTGTGTATTGTGAACAACAGTGTACTGAACTTACATAAACTCAAAACAAATCAAGACATCAGCATTGCCTGTCCCCAAAATGTGTGTTTTTCATTTCTCTGGAGATTTTCAAAAAGCAATTTTTAGGACAATCCTTGTCAGCCCTATTACGTAGACCAGACTAAGAAACAGACACATTGCAGATCTAAGCTATTTTTATTAGAACAGCTATAGTAATCTTGCAAGTGTGCTACCTTTCATCCCTGTTTTATCTTCATGAGAATTGGAGGGGGAGGGGGAGGGGGCAGAGGGTTGCCTGAGGCATTTTCACAAATTACTTTCTTGGCCTGGGCTCAGGTTTCCTTTATCTGATTACTGCCTTGGTAGCAGATCATCCTTCTGACCTTCAAGGCCATCCTCTTTATCCACTACAATGCAATGCTTTTCGGCTGTACTGAACTTAATGGTTAGTGATTAAACCAAAAAAAGGTCAAAGTGACTATACTTCTAGCTGCCAAATATATTATCTTTACTAAAATAATTAATACAGATAAATACATATTCATATAAGCTTCTGAACATTTGAATTCATTCAAATTATGAGCAGAAATAAGTTAAGTCAAATTAATTAGCTGCATTTTCAAGTTGCAATCATGTTACACACTTAAGAAGCATCAGGATACATATAGGGGATGAGTATGTGCAGAGGAAAGGAAAGAACAGTGTCTGAGGTGATCTCTGCCTGTCTCCTTTTCTCTTCTGGAATTTTTCTGACAGGCCAATTAATGGCACGGACCTTCAGGAGGAGTGAAAGGAGTACTAGTGGGTGATTTCACCTGTCTGCCACCCTCATCTAATGAGCATTCAGATTGAACATGAAATTCTCAGAAACTCTTTCTCTGCTCAATATATTTTCATTTACAATACTGTATACCAGTTCTTAAACAGCTTCTAGAACTTGTTACTCTATTACTATTATTATTATTATTATTAGTATTATTATTATTATTATTATTATTATTCCACCGTTTTTTTATACAACACAAGGCGGTAAACATACCATATATAAGCATGCCTTATATAAACATACCTTATATAAACATTAACGACGCTCCCTGAGTGACTGCCAATTATTCTTAGATTTATTTATTTTCTATTTATTTTTGTAATTTTGTAATTTTAATTGATTTCAGCTGTTTTGTAAACCGCCCAGAGTCGTTCAATGAA